TACCATGTAACCTGAACTGCTTCTTATGAACTGTTATCTGACCCACAGAGCTATAAAGTTGGGCATGTGCAATCATCAGATGCAACTGGCGTCTACAAGAATAGGCCCAAGCAGGCCTTGGTGCACCAGGAAGCTACATAAAGTAACCTAAGAGCCCATAATGTCACTCCTACTTCACTGCTTTTTGTTTTCTTGTCCCCGTCATTTCCCTCATGGGGAGTTCCCTGCATGTGGCAAATGAAGAAAAGACTTGAGCCTCATTAATAGCTGGTTCCCTATAACATGCAGGTGTCGTCCCAAGTGGACAGCTGCAGCAGCACTGCAGCACATATCTGGGACATCCTCAAAGGATGGTGATGATGGGAAACCCTCCTAGTGGACAGAATTCTGACCTTTGTACCTGGTTATTCACTTGGCTTAGAAGGAGAAGAGTAGAACATGCATATTACGGTAAATATATATATAGATATATATGGTAAATAATATATAAATATATATACATATGTATGTGTATATATATCCTCATGCACATGTACAAAAATGTACATAAAATACATATATATATATGTATATATATGAATACAATTAATGGATCTTAGGGTATGTTTCTTGACCTAAAAAACAGAAGTCTTATTGACGCAAAAAGTTGTTTTACCAATTCATAATAGTAGGAATATAGTATGGAATTCCCATTGTCTCAGATCCTTTTAAAAATTAAAAGCATCACACTAATATTTATACTTTTGTATTTACTAAATTATTATTACACTTAACATTTTATGATACTTTTTCTCTTCTAATTTCATCTTCAATTTTAGACAGAAAATTTGCAATACTTTTTCCCTTCCTGTAGCTGTAATTTTATGTATACATATTCATATGGGTTTACATATTGTGTATACATTTATCACTATTTCAAAATATAATTTTATAAACTTTCTTCTCAACTACATTTGCTACCAGAAAGTGTTATTACAGCAGAGTTATTCCCCTACATCTAAAATTATGTCATATTGCTTGTGAAAATATAATTAAAGACATGCTATGAGGAAAACTTCAGTGTTATTTAACAAAACCTGAAAGAACCTAATGAGGAGAAAGGCTCTAATTGAAAGAGATCCTACAAAGTTTTCTGTTAGGTATTTTCCAATAGAATACAAAAAGTTCTTTCAAATTCTTTCAATAAAGTTAGTGGTTTTGCTTTTCTCAGATAATGTAAGATGCCACAGTAGTCTCCCAGAGATAAGTCTTAGCTTCCTGTTTACCAAAATTTTAATGAAAGAGTGGTCTGAGGAAAAGAGAGTGGAAATCACCATGACGACCATCATGGCCTGGTTTCCTGGTACCTGAATGAAGCTCTAACTTGCTGTTAGAGTGGAAATAAAGTAAATGATGAAGAGGAGGAGGAGGAAGGTGGTCACCATTTTCATGGCCCTTCTATGGGCCTCTGTGCTAGAGTCCCTGGAGCCCACAAGGCTGAGCTGCAAATTCTTGGTCTGTCTCACCAAGGACAGATATAAAAGGAGCAAAGGGCTCAGGGACAGGAGAAAATGATTAACACAAGTCAAACTAAGAAGAAGAACACTTTTAAGATAGAATGTGTTATTCACATTTAAAGGCAAAGTCATATTTCTCCCATGAACTCTGTAGGTATTCATCCACAACTCACTAAGAGCATCCTGCATTAAGTTAACAGGCAATAAGAAACAAGACCCCAGAAAAGCATAAGGACCACCTTGTTGACTCTCCACTTCAGCCAGATGAAAAGGAAGTGGAAAAATTAATTAGCTACCTTAAGGAAGTAGAAAATACTTAGATTGGTGGCAAACCAGGTAGTTAAGTGATTAGGTAATGCCCAAAGAATAGTGACCACTTTTGCTAGTTTACCAGTACCACACACATGTGGAGCTAGCCCATAATGAGTGAATCCACTAGTGTTACCCACAGTTGAATGATTCTGACCACAGCCAAGCTGGTGAGGATGACATCACTTGAGGAAACCTTCCCATTCCTGACCCATTCCACACATTTCACCAGTCCAGTGAACCCATTTCCCAGCATTCCTAAGATGAGTTCTCCTGCTGCCACTACCAGAAAGGTGACCTTCATTCCAGCTGACATCTGTGTAAGCAAGTTTCTAATGTTGTGCCTTGCTGACAGCTTTATGGTGAAACATATGCAGATGAACATCCATTTATGATGCTTTCTGTAAATATTGTCATCATAATTCCCAAAAGTACAACCCAAATTCTACATTGTGATAGAGTTCCAGAGATCTTCACAAAGAATAGTTAATTCTGTTTATATTGTAAATCTAGTGCTAAAAAAAAGTTCCATTAAAAGATATAACATTTTATGACTATCCATCATATTTCATACTGTCAGCTACAGTATAATCTCCAGAATAAATGCAAATGATGTCGACTTACCTTAGCACCATCTGCAAATTGTATTTGTGCCACTGATTAAAACATGAAGTCAAGTATGTAAACATGCAAAGTGAGAGAGATTATTTTCCACCACTTTATACTTTCATCTCCCTGAGCCATATGTTTAAATGTGAATATTTTAACTTTTGAATAACTATTGCTAAAAGAAACTTTATTTAATCAGTCAGTATTTGTTATTCATCATTAAAATCCTTCTACATATCAATTATTTTTTGTTGCAATTTGATTTATAGAAATGTTTTTACAATTATATTTTGTTCAAGACCACAACCAATCCATGAACAAATAACTAAATATTATTAGAAATCAATATCATAGAAGCCAAATCAGAAATTATGAGAAAAGTATACTGGGAATATACATGATGAAGCGTCAATGTAGAATTCATTATGGTTTTATGAAGACAGGAATATTTACTGGGAACTTGAATTATTTAGAATTTATGAAGACAGGGAGAAAAATTCAAGACTGATATAAAGACATGTCAAATTATCAAAGTGACATGAACAAGCTCTGGTCCCCTTCTAAACAAAAGAACTTCCTTTATGTTACAATAACGTATTGACTTTTCAATTGAAATGTTACCAAGCACCCTCCAACATCTCTGTCTTAAATTCAGGGCTTTCATCTTCTTTCTGGGCTACACAGTGACTGTATTTTTCAGTCTCCCTTAGAGGTGGTGTGGCAATGTGACTGAATCTGATCAATGTCTTGTGAGTGAAAATTATGTGCATCATTTACAAGCCCATCCCCCCAAAATTTTCCCATTCACACTCCTCCATATGTCTTTCCCCTCACTGCTGCCTGGAATGGCGATGACTTCGATGCAACCTTGGAAACCCCGTGTTCAAGATGGCGTGCTTGCGATCAGCCTGATTCCCAAGTAACTGCATACAGAGGCTCCTAAGACATGTCAGGGCTGTTAGAAAAGCAAAACTAAAGTCAGGTTATGTATGGGTCCAATGCTTTATGGTTTGGAGGCTGTATGTGACAGCATTCCTTCCCCCAGTTTAAGGCAGCAACTGGAACTGAGCATATGCAGATTTATTTGAAGGCATGTGAAGGGTACAGAAACAACACAAGGAAATTTAAGCCACCTGAGATTTTTGTGATGGATTATGTTGTCATTGGTTTTCCAGGCTTAAAACAGTTTATTCGTCCATTGATTTAGTCTTTAGGATATCATTTTGTTTCTATCCATGGGCTGCCTTTGTGTCCTGAGGAGTCAACAGGAAACAGAATAGATATCATCCCACATTATAAGGTTCTGTTCCACTGGTGCAGACAGGTAATTAAAAGAAATGAAATGAATCAGATATGGGGAAGATTTCTCTTAAGGTATAGATAATGTTGTTAAAATTTCTTAATACTAAAAATAATATGAACATGTAAATTCAGTTGTTGAAGAAGATGATACATTTCTTTCCTATAATAGACATTGCTACCAATTTATGTCAACACACTTCCTATTTTATCATTTTCCACAAGATTTTAACTAAAAAGTCCCAAACACTTTTTTATAATTATTACATAGACATTATAGGTATCAATATTCATATATGCAGAAAGGTCATTGACTTAAGTTCCATAATTTTTACTATTCATATATCAAGTATATATTTTAGGTAAGAACAGTTGAATCTACCTGTGAAGTTTAAAAGGAAATTTTAAGTCACAAGGAAGATGACAGTCAATTCAGAGGCCCAGATATGGTTTAGGGGTAAAAAAAATAAATTGATCAGTCGTTGACTTCAAAATAGTTCTCCAAATTTAAAAACTGTAGGAAATGACTTTCCTAACCACCTGTTGAACTACAGAAGTATTTTTTAAAAAGTCATGATCTTTCACTTTCTTCTTCATCCTTATTGTAGAACTTGATTTTTTCTAAGCTTTAACCTGCTTGTATTAAATCTAATAATCTCCAGTGCTGTTCATTGTGCATGTATATAAAATACATTTTAAATGTCTAAATCACTTCTTAATTTCATTATGCATATTTTTCTTAACAGTTACGATTACTAATAACCATCAAATATGAATTCAGTGGAATAATTTCTATTCCAAATATCCATCTTCAATGTGTAATTTAGAATGAATAGTTTTGACATTCAAAAGATTAAAGGTTCAAAGAAAAAGTTCTAAACATACTCTGGTATTTATGTATGGTATTAATTACAATAGAAAATAAGAATGATTTCCTGATATTAGTTTTCAGTCTTTAAATCTGCACAAATATAGATCATAAATATTCAAATTACAAGATCATAACATAGAATATGTATGTGAAATAAGCATGGCTTCATAATTATAAGGAATCTACTATACTATTTTGTAAAATTATATTGCTTGCATAAAAATGTAATTGTATCATTTTAAAATCTTGTACTTTTCACAAACATGGGCACATAATATTTTTGCGATAATCTGAGGTAAAGGCTTTTTTAGGTATACTGTATCCCATTCTGTACACAGTGATGAATACAGCAAAAACTACAAAATGTTACAGACTCCATCAGTTTGTTTTCTGCCAGAAGATACATGGTTCACCACTTACTTCCTTTTTTTCAACCAGCACTTCAGCTGCCACAGAAATGATAGAATGGCCTCTCTTAGCTTCTTGTTACCCCAAATCAGGATGAATGAGTGGCATGAAGAATAGAGGTTTCCAAAAATCCAGCACAATATTTCACCTGAATTATTCTGTGGAGTAGTAAAACTCCACATTGAGATGATTTGAGTCACGAAGTAAATGAAAAAGAACAAGAGAAAGGAGATGAGAGTTTGCATGGCTCTTACATGGACCTTGGTGCTGACATCTTGGGATCCGATGCCACTGAGCTGCATCTTCTTGAGATGTTTCCACATGGAAAAGAGTAACAGCAGTAAAGCCATCAGGGATAGGGTAAAGGGGATGATGTGCACAATCGTGAATATCATCTCATCTGAGAGATGTGCAATGTGCCGCAAGCTGGTCACCCAAGTGATATTTCCTTCATATTCAATCATCCCTGTTTTTACCTCTAAACTTAACACTGCAACATGACAAGCCAAGAAGACCAAAGAGCCCAACAGTAGCATGAGAACCACTCTTTTAGCTTTCCGTTTTAGGTGAAGAAAGTAAAGATTGGAGAAATTGGCTATTTTGAGCAAATAAAGGATGCTGAGGCTAACAGCAAACCAGAGGCTAAAATGGTTGCTTGCTACCCAGGCAATATAAACAATAGTTCTTACTCCTGAACTATAGAAACCTGGATTTAACACAGTTGCATACCAATTTAACAATATTACCCAGAGCAAGCCAATCCTGGAGACTGCCAGGGCAGTGAGAATTCCATCAGCACAGGAGAGCTTTTTCCCCTTGACCCAGTCAATGCCATTCACCAGGGTTATGAAGATGTTGGCAAAATTTCCTAAAACAAATTCTGCTATCAGTAGGATAAAAAGAATGCTCAGTAATAAACTTATCATGTCTCAAAGAAAAAGGCCAATCTAATATCACTGTTGTGATTCCTTTAATATCCTGATCTCAAGGTCTATTTGTAGCTGATCTTGGATGTGTGAAATATGTGTATTTTTAAATATCTATGACCAGTGTCAAATATGAAAGCACCGATGTATGGTAATGAAAGAGCTCAATGCTTTTTTATGAAAAACACTGTTACACCCCACATAGCTCAAATTAACTCTTATTCAAATGTTTTATGCCCTGGCTGTAGGCTGGAATATTTCCTATCTGATGTTCTTGTGAAAGCTGAATTCTCATTTGCTATCATGCAAATATAGACATATTCACTTTCATCATTTTGAAATTTTCTTTGTTTAACCTCTCCATAATTTGTTTCATTGATTTTGACTACCAAGGAGAAATTGAACACCACTCCCTTAGGTGGTCTTTTTGTATTAATATGTCCTATGATTCATGTTAGAAATAATATTTTGTTCTTCCATAAATCATCTTCTATGGACAAACTGAATGAAATAGTCATAACATGAACCTCTTAAAGGATGCCTTTGCAGTTTTATTAGTGTTAAAAACAAAATGGTAACAATGTCCTTCTATTCCCAAGCATTGGTCACAGAACAGATATAGTCATGGTCTAGTCACACTTCACAATGTTGAAAGAAACTGGTAATGGGTGTAACATGATGAGCTTTTCTAAGATGGCAGCCTGTCTACTGCTGGCTCTCATTAAAATGAAATTGAAAAAGGGTGACTTGGTCTCAAAATGCATTCAAATAAATAAATATTAACATATCAACCACAGAGCACCATCCTGTTCCTTAACTTATATTTTTCAGTAGCCCTTTTACCTTTACTCTGTGGTGTTAGAAATGGGGCTCTGTAGCTGAATCTATGATTTTAAGATCATCCACAAACAGTTTTGTTAAGTAATACATTGAAAATGAAGATGCGCCATTTCTCAAGTTTTCAGCTTAACTAGAACTTTTCTATTTTATAAAGTAAGTTACCCACAATGATCTTGAAGAAAGTACTTAGACATAGTCCAACTTATGCATGTAAACATTTGAAATATAAACCATTAAAGGAGACTGATGATGATGGCAGCTAAATGGGAGATCTCAAATAGTTGTGACTTCATCCAGGTTTCTAAGTGGCAGAGATCACTGTAATATAAGAACACTTCTGACCTTCTCCATGACCTTAAGATGCCTACATCAGTCCCAGCATCAGGACAAGCTTGAAAGAACAACTTCACCAAAAACTTCATCAATAGTAACTTAAAAACAAAGTATTTCTAACAATTTATTTGATACTACTTAGTACATCCTAGAAATTATGACACAAGTGAACTGAAACAAGTAGTACTGTGCTTTCGTAGCACATGCATATGGACATTACATAATCTTTATATAAAAGTACAGTATATAAACTTTTGTTCATATTTTAATAATATTATTCACAAGCAAAATTCTCTTCTCTGCCTATTTGCAAGCCCTACCACTGCCATTAAACTTGGTTATTTTACTTAGTCAAAGTAGCACTACATATACACCTTTCCAAACATATCCAAACATTACACTACATGTGTATTATGCTTTGACAAATTTACCTTTCTATGTCTGTCTTATTGTCTTTGTCAAGATATTAAAAATTTATACATCAGCATTTTAATTTTTGTATTGTATTCTATGCCAGAGTTTATTTGTCCGTTTTATAACTGATGGGCATTTATACAGCTTACCAATTTCAGCCATTAAGAACAGTAGAACACATACATTTTTGTGTATATAGCCTTATGCACATATGTTGCGCGTGGGTCACAGGCCAGCAGTGACCACGGAACGCTGTGGATGGCTCGACGATAAACACGTGAGAAAAAACATGCACAGAGACAAACTAGTTTCTGTGGAGAAGTAGGGACGAAATGGCCACCCCTTCTAGTGAGGAGCGCGCTGATTTACCATCCATACCTGCTTTTATGGGGCTCATTTTGCATAATAATTCAGGTAAAGTACAGCACTCATTAGGGGGAAGTAAGGAACCATAGAAAACAAAGAACTCTGCCCGTCTATTGAGTTGGGGATCAAAGAGCTGTAAGACTGAGGAACAAAATAACTTCCTCCTAAGACCCTTCTCATTCAACTGAGAGCATTCTAAACAAAGAAGGTTTTCACAGTAATTTACATATTCTTTCTTAGGCCTGATCACCCCGGGGAATCCGCACTTCTCAGTACCGAGCTGCACCACCCTGTCATTGTTTCAGGCTTAGGTGGAGCAAGGGAACTAAGGCAACCGAGAGACAAGGAAGTTTTCTCCCAGACGCTGAGAACTCAGGCTATGTCAGAGCCGAGGAGCGAGGGTCCATCACCCCCTTTTCCTGCAGCCCCCCAAGTCCTTCTTTTGGGTGGGCCTCCCAAAGTGATTGTGCCTGTCTTAGGTCGTTCCCCCCGTGGGGAATCTTACCCGTCTTTGGCTAACCGACCAAGCTTTTTGGGGGTTCAGTTATGAATAAAGCAGCAGAAGCAGCATTCCTGCCAGGAAGACAAGCTTTTGTCTCCTTGCTGGCTCACGGTTCCAAGGGCATTCCCTTAGCTTTAGCCTAGGCGGGGGTTTCAGCCTCTGATACCAGTCAGGGCGGTTCCCAACACACATATACCAAGAATTCTCAAGTACAAAAATTATGAGTACAATTAATGGGTATTACATTATGCAAATTCACCTTAATAAAAATAATGCCATACTGTGGCACAAAGTTGTTTTACCAATTCATAATCTTAGAAAAGAGTATGAAAATTCCCATTGCTTCAGATCATTTCAAAAATTAGAAGCATTGAACTAATATTTACATTTATATTTATGTAAATTATTATTACACTTAACATTTTACACTCCTTTTTAAGTTCTCATTTCAAATTTATATTTAGTAAGAAAAATTTGAATTACTTCTTCCCCTTCTGTGACTATAATTTCATAAACATTCATACTGCATTGCATATTTTTATACATTTATAAGTATTTAATAATACAGTTTTATAACAATTCTTCATGTCTCAAATACTCTTTTGTTACCAGAAAGGGCTTTTATAGAAGAGATATTTCTCTTAACCTAATATTATACCATATAGCTTTGAGAAAATATAATTACTTAAAAGCACACTATAAGGAAAATTTTAGTGCTGTTTAACAAAACCTGAAAGAACCTGATGGAGCTCAATGTTGAAATTGAAAGGGAAACTATAAGGTTATTTATTGAGGTATTTTCCCATAGAATACAGAAAGTTCCTTCAAATTCTGTCTATAAAGTTAATGGTTTTGCTTTTCTCAGACAATGTAAGATGCCACAGTCATCTACCACAGATAAGTCTTAGCTTCTTGTTCCCCAAAATTATAATGAAAGACTGGTCTGAGGGAAAGAGAGTGGAAATCACCATGATGACCATCATGGCCTGGTTTCCCAGTACATGAATGAAGCTCCAACTTGTTGTTAGAGTGGAAATAAAGTAAATGATGATGAGGAGGAGGAAGATGGTCACCATTTTCATGGCCCTTCTATGGGCCTCTGTGCTAGAGTTCCTGGAGCCTAACAGGTTGAGCTGCAAATTCTAGTTGTGCCTCACCAAAGACAGAAATAAAAGGAGCAAAGGGCTCAGGGACAGGAGAAAGGAAATAACATAGGTCAAATTAAGAAGAAGATTTTAAGATAGAACATTTTATTTACATCTAAAGGCAAAGTCGTGTTTCTCTCATGAGCTCTGTAGGTATTCACCCACAACTCACTAAGAGCATCCTGCATTAAGAAGTTAACAGGCAATAAGAAACAAGACCCCAGAAAAAGCATAAGGACCACCCCTGTTGACTCTCCACTTCAGCCAGATGAAAAAGAAGTGGGAGAAACTGGCTACCTTAAGGAAATAGAAAATACATAGATTGGTGGCAAACCAGGTAGTTAAGTGATTAGGTAATGCCCAAAGAATAGTGAACAATTTTGCTAGTTTACCAGTACCACACACATGTGGAGCTAGCCCATAATGAGTGAATCCACTAGTGTTACCCACAGTTGAATGATTCTGACCACAGCCAAGCTGGTGAGGATGACATCACTTGAGGAAACCTTCCCATTCTTGACCCATTCCACACAGTTCACCAGTCCAGTGAACCCATTTCCCAGAATTCCTAAGATGAGTTCTCCTGCTGCCACTACCAGAAAGGTGACCTTCATTCCAGCTGACATCTGTGTAAGCAAGTTTCTAATGTTGTGCCTTGCTGACAGCTTTATGGTGAAACATATGCAGATGAACATCCATTTATGATGCTTTCTGTAAATATTGTCATCATAATTCCCAAAAGTACAACCCAAATTCTACATTGTGATAGAGTTCCAGAGATCTTCACAAAGAATAATTAATTTTGTTTATATTGTAATTCCAGTGGTAAAATGGAACAATTCCATTAAGGGACACAACATTTCATGAATACTCATCATATTACTTACTCTCAGCTACCATGTAATTTCCATAATAAACACAAATGGTGTCCACTTCTCTTCACACCCGCTGCAAATTTCCATTTGTGCCACTGACTAAAAGAGTGAAGGCCAGTATATAAACATGTAAATTAGAGAGAGATTATTTTCTAAAACTTTGTACATTCATCTCTTGGAGCCATGCATATAATGCATATACTTTAAATTTTGAATAGTAGTTGTTAAAAAAAAACTTTATATAATTCAGTCACTATTTGTTACTCATCAGTAACATCCTTACGCATATCAACTGTTTTTGTTGATATAATTTTCATACAAATTATTTATTGTAATTATTTTTAGTCCAAGCAACAACCAATCCAAGAACAAATAACTTAATGTAGATGGTAAGAAATATTTTAGAAGCTTAATTACAAGTTACAAACAAAGTATTCTGCAAATATGTATGAGGCTACGAAGACTAACATGTAAATTGATTATGTTTTTTGAAGACCGGAACATTTAATTGGAACTTGAATCATT